CCATCTGGACCCTTCAGCCATTTGTAACTTTCTAAAATCAAAGTTTTAATCACCCTTTTGCTGTTTATTCCCCCCACACACACATTTTTTTAAGTTTTTAAACTTGTAGTTAAAACTTCTTTCACTAAGAATTGAAGGAAACTCACCCAGTGCTGTAAACTTGTCGATCCAAAGGTCCCTAATAGCGGAAAAACAGTTAACAAGCAATTTCTGAAAGTGATTAGAAAAGGAAGTATGCTAACCCAGTGACCTTTTAAAGGCACCATCCGTGGTTTGAGCAAGATGGCTATTCCCTCGTCTCCCAGAGCATTAAACCTGCCAGAGACTGCTGTGTAGCAGTCTCCTCACAGGGAGCAGCTGTCTCAAGTCCTCTCCTTGTCCGGAGAGGAATTATTGAAGAACCAGTCTACTTGTCAGCCCTTCATTCTGCCACAGTGTCTTCAGTCTGCCATTTCTTCCCTGGAAGTTGTACTTCCACATTTTTCAGAGCTGTCATTAAAACTTGGTTCTTCTTCCAGATTTACCCACCCATCAATGTACTTCCCTCTTTGTCTCGATTGATGAAATCTGCTATTGGTGAGGGAATGACCAGAAAGGATCATGCTGAAGTTTCAAACCAGCTGGTAAGTGGAATTGCTAACTGAGGTGTATAGCTCCTCCATTTTCTTGCATTAAAAAGTTTTTGTCTGGTTCACAAGTTGTGTCAAGACAGCATTGCACAGCCTTTGCAACCTCCAGGTGTATGGACTTAACTCGCTTGACATTTTTTAAAAACAGAGAGCATTGATTTTTTAAATATAAGATATTCCTCTTCCAAATTTCTGGGGCATTATCTAAATTTATTCTGGTAAACTTTTCAGTTGTTGATAATATTGGGTTGCTGGTTTAGCTTCCACAAAAGACTTCTCAATATATTCAAAGAAAACAGAGTTTCAAAGGCTGCTACCAAACAAATACTTTATAGGCTGCCATTTGACTATTTTGGTAAACTATATTCCATTTCTAATCTTTCTCAATTTTAAAAGTGCCACTAATAATTAGTTGATAAAAAAGCGACCATCGCATTTTCAGTCAATGTTTTCCAGAAAAAGTTTTTTTCCTGCCATCTTTAAATAAGGGTTATTCTAAACTGTCAGTTTCTAGGATTATATGATAAAATGGGCTACCAATTTTGGTTATAATATACAGATGAATGCATGGGAAAGAGTGTGGGTACATGGGATAAAATTTACATTGTGTTGTAATTTAAGAGAAAAACTTAATAAAATGATGTATCGTTGGTACATGACACCAGAGAACCTATAAAAAATGTCTAAAGATACCACCAGTCAATTTTGGACATGTGAAAAACATGAAGGGACATTTTACCACATGTGGCGAACTTGTGAAAAAAAACAAGAAATATTGGATAAAAACACATACAATGATACAAAAAATCCTAAAAGATTAATATTGCAAAGAAACCAGATTTTTTTTTTTTTATTGGGACTTATGGATAGTGAATTAGAAAAGAGTCATGGTTGAAGCTTGATTTTGTATATGGTAGCAGCAGCAAGATTATTATATGCATAAACACGGAAGGCTACTGAGATTCCCCCAGTGGAGGAATGGATCGTGAAAATGTCAGATCTGGTAGAAATGGCAAAACTGACCTGTTTGGGCAGGGAGAAAACTATAAGTGAATTTTTAATGGAAACCTTATGTGGACTTTTTTGCTGAAAGAAGAAAAAAGTGAAATGATGATTTGTGGATTTAATGATTGAAAACGGGACAAATAAGGGGCTGAAGGGATTTCTGGAATAGTTAAGAGGGAGGGAAGATGATGGGTTTGTTAATATCTTTTGAAAAGAAGGACAGAAGTCATCTACTTTGGTGTCTTTAGTTATTTCTCTTTTTTGTTTTTCCTTTTTTCTTTGCACTTTACTATCTTTTTCCTTTCTTTTTTTCTCTTTCCTTCTTTGTTTTCTTTATTAGATTTGTTTTTTACTTATGGAAAAAATCTTTAATAAAAATAATTTAAAAAACCAAACTGTCCAGAAGTAGGATCCCAGTAAAGCCCAAGTATGTCTAATTGCCTTTAATGTTAGAAATAATCACAAAATTCCTATGAAGCTCATATTGCTTGTGATAGCCCATGGAAACATATTCCTTAATAAATGTCGCAGTCCTTTTAGTTCCATAAGAGTCCTTGTTTTTTTTGTCTAGTATGCCTGCTACGCCATTGGGAAGGATGTCCAAGCCATGAAGGCTGTGGTAGGAGAAGAAGCACTTACTTCCGACGATCTTCTCTACCTTGAATTTCTGCAGAAGTTTGAGAGGAACTTCATTGCTCAGGGTAGGTATTGTCCTTCAGATGATTGGGGACACTGTTGCTGTTTCAAAGGCATTGTCTAGATTTCAGTGTGTGACCCTGCTGTCGGTTATTGTTTCAGGCCCCTATGAAAACCGCACTGTTTATGAAACTCTGGACATTGGATGGCAGCTGCTACGTATTTTCCCCAAGGAGATGCTGAAGAGAATCCCCCAGAGCACCTTGGCAGAATTCTATCCCCGAGACTCCACCGCAAAGCATTAGCTTGCACCTTGAGCTCCCCAAAATACTGGATTTTTTTTCTTCCCTTGTGTTGGTGTTTACTTGTCAGCCCTGTAATTAAACCAAGAATAAGTGACATATTTGTGCCAGTGTTCCTGATGTTTTAAGCTGATAACAGAGTTTAAAATATGCTCCTTCTCAAACACTGGTATCTTGAATGGTTTACATATACAGTACTGGGAGGAAATGGTTTATCTTCAGTACTCTGGTTTGCTTTCCTGGAAGCATTTTTCCTTTATGTGGTCTTGGAGGAAGACAGTACACTGAGCTGGCTGCCATGCCATTTTTGGACTGTTGGAGCTTGAGACAAGTCATCTAGTTATGGAGGGAAAATCTAGTCCATCAAAACTTGAGAAAAGTTGTATTCCTTGGTCAGGCCATCCTTGCCCACTTGGGACTTTTGGTATTCGGTGCTATTCCATACCATTGGTTGCACTCTAAGCCATCCTGCTGACAAGTGGACAAGAGAAGGCCACCCAATAGGTTAGAATGGTTACTGGTAGCATTTCAAGCCCACAAAGCGCCATTCACTTCAATTATGGCTAGGAAATCACCCAACAGTGATTTTGCAATATTTGCACATCCTGTTGCTTGCCCAGGAACAAGTACATGATTCCTACCTCTTCTATGAACTTGGCATAGGGACTACTTTCCAGGTTGCCAGTCCCACTGCCCAGTTCCAGCTTATCCATCTGCACATTTATGCAGTTGTGGACATAAATATGTAACAATAGCAAAACAGGGATGTTCCTCCCCTTTCTTCTATGGTTCATTGCAAAGTAATTGGGGCAGAGGACAATGCTAGTGAGGGTGATGGTGCCTGCAGCTAATGGGTATCAACATCCGTCTTCAAAATGCTCTGAAAGGGGGCGATCTTTTTCAGCTGCACATCGCAGCACACCCCTGTATTTGAACAAAGTTGAGGAACATTTACTTGAAATATACCTAGATCATTTGAAAGTTATACCAATGAGCCCTCTTGTTAGGTTCCTAATGATCCAGAAAGTAAGAAAGCACAGTGAACATATGAAGGGCTATTTTAAATTCTGTTATTGAGAAACCCTTTGGAACGTATTAGGATTGAACCCTACCCAATTTTGGATTTTTCTTTAAACCATCTTCCAAAGGTGAAGCTCGCTAGCCCCATTCAGTTGAGCACAGCTCTAAAAATTGCTTTGGCACTGGGCAGTAGATGGCATTGGCAGCCAAATGCTTTTGTAGAATGGGCTTGTGTGAATTTCAAAGCTCGGAGGCAAATATGAGGTATGTTTTCACCTTGATTTTGGTTTCTGGCCTATGCCTTGGGGCCGCTCCCACCACTTCAATTCCAGTGATCCAGATCACAAACTATGGGACAACATCCCAGCTGGGTGTTGCTTGAAGAGGTTGGTGATGGTTCAGGCTGCAAAGACTGCTGGTTCCGTTTCTCCCCTTCAGCCCTCCCAGCGCTTTGTCCTATGCAGATCTTCTTTGTACTGTTTTGTTCTGTGTGCTCTGTAACTTGGGTGCAGTAGCCTTTTTTTCCTTTACTCTGATGCATTCCATCGAAGTCGTGTCAATTCTATTTTTCTCTGAATTTGAGGAGGGTTGGGAATCATGGGGATGGGGAAATAGCATGGAAATATTTTAATGTAGAAAACTGTGATACCTGAATAAGTTAAACATGATAAATAAATGTTAAAGAAAATGGGACTCTTGTTCTGTACTGACAAAATGGAGGCTTCTTGTTTCCTTTAGGGGTGGGCCCTTCATAAATCATGAGCCTTTAGGGCTTGCAGTGTCTCAAGAAAATTAATTTCATACTCACAAATTGGCCAATACCCATATAAGTCATGAGCCCATCATGGTACATCTTTCCTTCATAGATGTCCTTGTCCACTAGTTTTAGAGCTATTAGAAGGATGAGGAGATACCTTTCATCAGCTGCTGTTGCAAATTTCTGCTTTCCATCCGACATTGTCCCTTGATCACTGATCTTCTACATTAGTGTAGAAATGCTTTAATTGTTGAATGTTGTGAGTCTGTTGCGGCTGCTGTTATGATTAGTGTAGCCAGATACCAGAAAATCCTTTTGTCAGAAAGCCAAGTGGCTTTCAGCCCACCCTGATCTCCCTCCCATGAATGTTTCTCATTTTTTTCTGCCAGTTGGGGGCTACTGGAGAGGGGTCAAGGGTCTTTCTGAGCAATTATGCTAGAGACTGGTGCTTTGCAGCATGCCTAGCTTCTGAGAGAAGAATCTTTTAAAAATGAAATCAGGAGAGGCAAAGAACTGGTTGGCCCTAAGGGAGTATATGTGTTATCCAGAGACCACCAAGTTGCTTAACCTAATTTATAGGTGCATATATCAGCAGCTCAGCAAAGATGCCGATGGTTTGGAATTGTAGGAGACTTTTGCTACTCCTCTCAGTTCAGCCTTGGATCATTTCCAGAAGTAACTAGGACTATATTATGGTTGCACCATAACTTTTTGATCAGAGTTGTGAGATAGATGTCAGATCAACAAATTTTGCAATGCATAAAGGCAGTATCTTTTTTTTTTTAAGATAATAAATACAACTGTGGTAGATGGCATCATCTTATTTATGAGCCTACAATTTATTAGTCCTATTAAGCACCATCAGGGTTTATAGCTTACAGTAAAACAACAAAATATATCACTATTGCAACAAATCACAAATGATTTCAAAGCAAGCAAGAAATAAGCAACAAAGCAATTTATACTGAAGGCAGAGGGCCAAACTCTGCAGAGCTAAGACAGTTTAAATTACTAGCATAACCTGAGTGGCTGGAGAAGTAGCTTTTACCCAGTACAGGTAGTCCTTGTTTAATAACTACAATTGGGACCGTCAACTCAGTCATTAAGCAAAGCGGTTAAGTAAAACCATGACTGTGCTTATGATCTTACTTCAGCTTTCCTTTGCTTTATAGACCTGCAAAGGTCGTAAATGCGAGGATTGATAATAAAGTTACTTTTTCACCACTGTCATAACTGCAAGTGGTCACTAAATGAGGTAGTCACTAAATGAGGACTACCTTACTCCAAAAAAGAAAAATATGCTAAACAGGCCTCTTTCAGGAGGGTATGTCAGAGCCAAGAGGGATCAGTACCTGTCTGTCTAGAAATGTACTACAGATCTTGGTCAAAGCATGGACAGAAGAAATGCACATGATGAATAGTATTGTCAATGAAGCATCTCCAGAAAAAAAAGGCAAAATAGGAATCAGAAATTAAGGAGCATTCCTTAAAAACAGAATTGAGGTTCATGGATGAATACAGGTAGTCCCCGGTTTAAGAATGAGTTCTGTTCCCAAGGTCTGTCCTTAAGTCGAATTTGTGTGTAAGCCAGAACAGTATTATTATATAGTACTGTATAAGTAGTATTGTGTGATTAACTTGAACCATTGTGTATTTAACTTAAATTTTGCTACAATAGGCTCCGTTCTTAACTATGGGTCATCTGTAACCCAGGTGTTCTTAACCCGGGGATTACCTGTAAGAACAAAGTTCCTTTTCCTACCCATTCAATAAATTACAATTGGGTTTACACTGTGGAGTTGTGGGTTGTTTAATAGTGGTTTAAATAAGCCTCAATTGCATTTATTCACACATCTTAAGACATGAACATGGTTTACAGATTACAGCAGCATATTTTCCACAACACATTCAGTCAGAACTATGCAACAATATGGTTTAGTGTGATATGTGAACCTGGCCAATATCTCTAATCTGCATATAGCTCAGAGGGAAGAAAAAAGTGGGCTTTCAGTTTAAAGCTGTGATGGTCAAATAGTTATGGTGCTCAAAGAATTGGAAGCAAAGCTCTTCATTGCCTGGAGAATTGTAATCAGCAGTGTAGAACATAACTGTGGTTCTAATCCTGCTTCCTCATTTTCTCATGTGCAAATGATGTGATGGAAAAATGGCTATTATGTATTTTTCATAGATAGTACCACAGATATAAGCCACATAGGGAGTTATCACAATAGCCCTGTAAAAGAGGTAGGCTTTCAATTTCATTAAAGCATTGCATTGTTACATGCAGAGCATGAAACAGCTTAGTCAGTAGGCCATTCTCCCATAAGGGGGGCTGGGGAAGCACTTAAATATAATAGACTTATTTTATGCAGAAAAAATGGTAGACAAATTTAAAGCCAAACATGATCTTCTGCTAATTGCTGCAGGTGAGGCCTGTTGGAAGCAAAGCTACAGGGGCCAGTTCAAATGTTGGCCATCTAAGTAGACAATATGTGGTCAGCTGAGTTCTCAAACCAATTAGTAAGTAACACATGTTCCCCGATTAGTTCCTCCAATAAGAGAACAGCAAATAAAGATAAAAAGGAAAGATGGAAAAGTGCATCTTGGGGAAAATTTGTATGGCTCAGTTATGTCTAATCAGAGATATGGGCGGCGAGCTAGAATCAGAGAAACTTTTTGTTGCTTGAAAGCAAAAGGTTTGTTGGGGGGAGTATTTTCTTGGGATGGTAGTGGGGCTGACAGATGAATATGGATCATCTGCAATGGAACATTAGTTTCTGGGGAAGTTTTTTTTTTTTTTAATCAAGAGGGTGCTGCTAAAGGGGAAGGGAATGCATTGTGTTGAAATTTAGCAATAGGTTAGAAACCTTTTCACATCTCTAAGTTAACTGTGGCTTCAGATACTATTGCTTCTGCTAGGTTAAGAGATAATGATTTAAGGAAGGATTAAATAGGATATTTAAGTAGTAAAAGGTAAATTTGCTACTACTTTAAGGTCTATAGAGTGTTAGGAGTATAGGAAACTTCCAGGATCCCACAGTATGCTCTTGTCTGTTTGAGACTGGTAATGAAGCTCTAGATTCTTCATCAAAGATGAGACTTTTCTTATCATTTGCTAATTCTAACTACAGAGGCCAGGGACTGAATTTAAAAGGGGACTTTTTCCATGCAATGTGGGTGTTTCATCCCTTCTTTCCCAGTGAGCTACAACTCATTCTGTAAGAGTTGATGGGCTTTAAACTTCTAAGATTTTTTACTAGAACTCAAGGCTACTGTGAATGTTTTACCCAAGACTTCATTTGCCCACACCTAAAACTGGC